CTTATTTTCAAGTGTGGGATTTCTTATTTGGCTTATTGCAAACAAAAATTTGAAGTTCCTGAATTGATGCCTAAATATTTTACAGATAGTAAACTGAGGTAGGGAAAGAGGACATCCAATGTGTGGCTCCCTAATGTATCCGGAATCAACTCCAAACTGCATCACAGTTTCGGATCTTTAATACCAAGGCCCCAGCCTATCTCTCTAGCCACATTTCCTACTATTAACTTATACAAATACAATACTCAAACCTGTGGTAGCTGTTAATTTTTAACAATGATACCATACCCTATGCTTTCCCTATTTTATATCTCTACCTAAATTATTTACTCTATTGAAATTGGTTCATGGCCCAAGTAAAATTCATTTTGAAAATGAAGCCCAACCTTGTTTCCAAATGTTTAGAAATGACAGCTCCCTCCTCTGAATTGCTTTATCACTTTGCTACTACCTCCCTTAGAGTACTCACTATGTTCTATTTTATAATTTTGGTAAGCATGTAAAAGGTTTATTTCAGCTAGCAGAGCATAAGCCCCTTAAAGGAAGGAAGAAAGGAACTAACATTTACTTTGTATCTATGAATCACTAATTGCTTTTCTTGTGATTTTATGTGTATGGTATGTATGTATATATTTTTTCATGTAATATTTGTGATATCCTATGAAGTACAATTTTTTCACAGATAAGGACACTGAGCTCACAGAGGCTAAATAATTTGTTTACAGTCATAAAGTTCATAAATGACGAGTCTAGATCTGAATTTTGGTGTTTCTAACTCCAAAGCCTAGGCTCTTTCCACTATATTCTGTCTAGAAAACCATGGGTATATCTCCTCACTGCTTTATCTGATTGATCCCTACCCACCCACTAATGATCATCAGAGGAAAAAACCTCCACTGCCCTTTGTCATTAAGTATTAGCAGAAAGGATTCAATATGAGGTATGTGCCCTCCCACTTTCCAAGACTAAGAACAGATTCTTCGGAGCAAACAGAATGATTAATATGAGTACTAAATAAAGATAAAGAGATCAGAACTCTGCTTCCAGGAAGGAAAAGTAAAAAAAAAAAAAACTATTACCTTCTCACTCTGTGTTTAAAAACCCCTCCTCCTTCGAGGTTTGCACCATCTGGCTATATCACTCTCTACCCCACCTCCTCATCTGTCATCTACCACCCTCCTGATTAATCCCCTATCTTTACTGCACCTGGGTCACATCTTTCTCTCTTCCCCACATCCCATCATCCTCAATCACTTCACTCGCCACACAGATGACTCATTCAATACACTAGCCTCGCAATTCCTTGTCATACTCAGCTTTACCGACCTTCACCTCTGCTGTATTTTAGCTATCCATAAACAGAGACCTCGCTGTCACCTAGAACAATCCCATATCAGACAACTCCGATATTCCACTTTCTGACCACACCTTTTTTTTTCTCAGCTTACTTCCACTATATTTGCTCGTTGATCTAACTCAAGAAATTGCAAAATCTTCAAGTCCAGAAATGAACTCATCATTAATTGTTTCCTGTCTCAGTTAAAATTACCAACATATCATTAATCATCCAAGGCAAAAACCTGAGCATCACACGGGACTCCTCACCCTCTCACCTGCACATACAATCAATCATTAAAACCTTATACATTTTCTCAGATTTATTTCTTTCTCTTCATCCCTATGACCACATTTTTAAAATGTTACTTCAACCATGTCTGATAGACACTTTTCTGTAATTAAATAAAAATTAAAAAAAAAAAACACAGTACCTACTGAATTGATTTCAGGATACTTATGCATACAAGGTCCACCATGACATGGCCTCTGCCCGTATTTCCAGCCTTATAACTTACCACTTATATCTCTATTGTTATATTCCTAGCAGTCCCAAACTGTTTGTGGTTCTCTACGCAAGCTATTCCTTTTCTCACATTGATGCCTTTGCTCAAGCTATTTTCTCTGTTTGAAGGACACTTTCTGCTCATGTTTGCCTAGCTTACTCCTACTTATCATTTAAGATTTGGGTCAGATATCATCTCTTACCAAAGCCTTCCTTTAACTCCTAGGCTAGTCTAAGTGCACTCACCTTTGGGTAACCTTTACTCGCAACCTTTACTCCCATATCTCACCTATGTGTAGTTCTCATCTTTTATTCTGAGATAATCCATTTACCAGCTCCACGAGATTGGAAATCTTTGTGCTAAGCACAGTACATAGCATAGTGCTTGACTCATAGTAGGTACATAAGTGTACAGTGAAGATTAGAACATACCAAGTTTAAATTTTCTTTTTTAAAAGATGGGGGTCTCATTCGGTCACTTGCTATGGTGTGATCATAGCTCACTGAAGCCTCAAACTCCTTGACTCAAGCGGTCCTCCTGCCTCAGCTCCTGAGTAGCTGAGACTACAGGCATGCACCATCATGCCCAGCAATATTTTCATTTTTATTTTTTGTAGAGACAGGGTCTTGCTATGTTGCCCAGGCTGGTGCAGAACTCCTGGCCTCAGTTACCTGCCTCACCTTTCCAAAGTGCTGGAATTACAGGCACGAACCCCTGCATCCAGGCCTAAGTCTTTTAATTTTCAGTGAGATATTCACATCAATTCTTTCTCACAGTGAAGTATCCTCTACCTTTCACTCCAAGTCCTTTGCAAGGAAGGAATCAGGGCCTTTCCTCTGGATCTGTACAGTTTGACTGAGAATAGTGCTATGCAAATGTTTACCCAACTTACATAAAAGGGAACAGCATTTGCACAAAAATCAAAACTTGACATATGTGCTACAAAGTTCAAAACTACTGACCAATCTAAAAAATGAAGGCATAAGAACAAAAATAACCAATTTTGACTGCTGGTATGTGCTTGTATAAGTTGTAAAAACAGTGAAACTTTGCTTAGTACTTAAACAGGATCCCAGATGTAAGAGCTTGGCATTTTATCTACAAGGCCATCTCATCTCTACTGGGCTTAAAACATTACTAACCTGCAGAGTTGCTTAGGCAAGAGTTTAGGAGGCTGGTAAGTAAGCAACAAAAAGTGTTCTTTTTCATAGTAACTTTGGGCCTTCTGCTGGCAGTTAGAAATAGAGCAAAGAGTTCAATGTAATAAAGCATTTCCTTCTGCAACCAAATATTAAAATTGCAGTTTGGCACTAAACTGGGTCTCAATCCTTCTCAGAGTTTAAATAAAAAAAAAAAAAGAGCTCTTCTATTTGCATGGCACATTACACTTTAATAAAACATTTTGATGTACATTAATTAGCACATTCGATAAAGTGTTTATAGACATTTTTTAAAAGGAAGGAAACCCCCAAATTTCCACAAAATAAGATGTCTTTTAGTTTGTTTGAACAAACACTACTAAATTTTTTTTTTTTTTTTTTTTAAGTTCAAAATACAGTACAGAAATGAGGAAGGGAATCTAGAGTACTTTTGATTTAAGCAGGTCAATCCTTGGGGCTGTTTCGTAGAGAAACTTACTAGGTTTTGCCTCCATGCTCACTTTTAAGAAACTCTCCTTTAAGGTGATATGGGGGAAACTAAAGCTCATCCAGAGGACAGTTTAAGAGAACCACAGCAGATGAGAAACAACTGAAGGAAGTGGAAGTGAAGACTCAGGGGACATAGTTACTATTTCAGATACCTTAATAGCTGCCCATAAGGGAAAAGAACTAGGAAGGGATGGGAGCCAGCTGTTTCTTTCAACTTATAAGCACATCTGTCCAGGAACAGAATGGGTTTCCTTTAAAGACATTCGCTTCGGAACACTGGAAGAGGTTCCAAACGGGCTCGTCAAATTATCAGGGGGGATTTGGAGATTTTCAAAGATACTTTGGCAGGGGATGGGAGAAAGAGTCCCTAGATGACTTTTAAATTCCCTTCCAGTCAGGAGATATTCCGGAGTTCACCCATCGGCTGGAAACCCCTTTCGATGCTCTCGGGGCTGGCCCACAGCTGTGCCCACGTGTCTGGCCCCCTGGGCCGCTGGCTCACTTCGGTGCGGGGCCGCTCTCCCTGCCCGTTTCCGGCGGGGCACCGGGGCAGGCGGCACACCTGAGTCGGCCGGCCGGGGCCCAGCCCCCAGGACGCTGCTGCGCCCCTGCTCTCGGTGGGGGCCACGCCGCCCCGCCGACCTCTGTCCCTGCCTGCCCCGAACGCGACCCGGCCGGCCAGAAGCACAGGCATTCCCACCTCTGGCGCCGGAGGTGTCCGACTGACCAGCGCAGACGGGGTCGCGCCGCCGCCCGGCCCTCGGCCCCCAGCCAGCCTGCCCCGGCCCACCCGGACCGGCCGGCCAGGACACGGCGACCCACACTGACCACCCTGACGCCGACCCTCCAAAGGGCCCCCGGCCTTGGGTTTCCCGTGCCGGGGCCCCCGGGCCGTCCCAGCCGCGTCAGGGCCGCGACCGGACCGTGGGCCCCGCCCGCCCGACCGACCGCAGATGCAGAACCGGCCTCCGGGCTCGGGACCCGGCTGACACGGCCGAAAGAGGGCCCGGCCCCGCGCGGACCACAGACTGGCAGGCCGGCCAGACAGACGGACAGGCTAACCCGGCCCGGGGGGGCGGACGCAGCGGCTGCGCAGGTCCCGCCACCGCCCTCTGGCCCCAGGCGGCCCCTCAGGGCGCAAGCTCTTAGGCGGGCGGAGGCGGCCGCGAGGCGCTTACCTGCGGGCGCGGCGGGGGCGCGGGGCGGCTCACTCCCTTCCCGCCGCCATGTTTCCGCTACGCAGGGAGGGAGCGGGGACGCGGGAAGGGGGCGGGCGGGCGGCTCCGGAGAGCGGCGGGCGGGCGGCCGGGGGCTCCACCGAGCTGGCGACGGCTGCTGAGGCGGGGGGCGGGGCGGGGACTCCCCGGCCCCTCCCCCGCGCCTCCCGCCGCGAGGTGGCGCGCGCCTCGGCCGTTGGGCTCGCGCGGGGGGCGGGGCGGTGCGCTGGAGGAGGGAGGGCGCGCAGGGACCTGGCCCCCCCCTACCCCGCCGGCCTGCAGACCCCGGTCCGGGGGCCCCGCTGGCGCCCGGGCCAGCTCTCGGGTACGCGTCTTGTAGATGGGTAAACTGAGGCCTGAGAGGGCGCGAGGGCGAGGACGAGGACTTGGGTTCGAATCCCGGGGCTGCCAGTAGCCCACTCCGAGGCCGCGTGGGGCTGGTGGAGGAGCCACCGGTCGGGCCCCCAAGACCGACTGACGTGGCCCTCACCTCTGGCGACCCCCGCCCGGCTAGTGGCTGGCCGTGTGGTGACCTTGGGCGAGTTACTTCGCACCGCCACCCAGGGGCCTCTTCTCCAACAGGATAGCACTGCACCGAGAGGGTAGGTGACAGTCGTGTTAGCGCTTGGATGCCCTAGTGAGTGTCAGCGTCCTCAGTCGTCCCTGCGGTCATCCCTTCAACAGGTACGCACTGAGTGCACAGGCTCATTCTTTCAGGCCCACCAAAAATGTTGGCTACACAATTCTATTTTTGTTTTATTAGAGGTGGAGCCTCGCTTTGTCCCCTAGGTCGGAGTGCAGTGGCGCCATCGTAGCTCACCGTAACCTCAAATTACTGGGCTCAAGTGATCCTCCTGCCTCAGCCTCCCAAAGCGCTGGAACTACAGGCGTGAACCACTGCGCCTGGCACACAATTGGTTTAACCACCACATCATTTTAGCAGCTTAGGAAACCGAAGTCTTGACTTCTATTTTGGCTATTGAAAATACAGTGCAATATAAATCCCGAAACCTCTGCTGAGCTGGATGTGGAGTGTGTGTGGCATCATTTAGAACATGGCAATCTTCAGGTCACACAGGAATGTCTTGTTAATGATACTTCTATGAACAATGCTCCTTGGAGGAAAGTCCACCTCAGCAAGGCTGGAGCAGCAGACGGGACAGCTGAGCCTGGGTTACTTGCCTTGCCTCTGGAATAGGTCTTAGAGCATTGGACTGAAGAGGGTCTGCCTCCTTTTATCCTGGTGTTGGTCTCAGTATCCGTCTGCCCATTCTTGAGAAATGGAAATGGTCAGAATCTATCCAGGTTCTGATCTGCATCCCTGTGTCTAATTTAAACTTTTATTCCATGACGTTTTGGGGAGTACCTGTCTCATGAAGAGCCCTGAGGTTACAAGGATAATTAGAGCCTAAATCTAAGGAGCCCATAGTTGGGGAAACTAGTATGTCAATAGCTAATGAGAGCACAGTGTTGTAAGTGCTCATACCAGTTTTCTATTCCTGCGTAACAAATTAGCCCAAATTTTGCAGCTTAAAGCAACACCATTGATTTACTCACAGTTGTGTAGGTCAGAAAACTGACATGGTGTGGCTGAGTTTTCTGCTCGTGGTGTCATAGGCTGAAATCAAGATGTCTAGAGACTCTGCGAGGGAAAGGTCTGCCCCAGGCTCCTTCAGGCTGTTGGCAGAATTCATGTCCCTGTAGGACTAGGATCCCACAGCTACATTGTTTTGCCAGATCTCTGTTGGAGACCACTCTCAGGTCCTTGCCACATGGTCCCTTTTATCTCATCAACAGAGAACCTCATGTCAATCCTCTCATTCATTAAATATCTCTGATTTCCCTTCTTCAACCAGTCAGAGAACACGGTGAGCTTTTAAAAGACTTGTAATTAGGTCAGACCCACCTAGCTAATCTTCCTACTTTAAGGTCACCTGTGCCACATCACATACCCTAATCACAGGAGTAAAATTCATCATAGCCACTGTCCCAGGGACTATGCAGAAGGTGTACATGAAGGTTAATCTAGGAGGCTACCTTAGAATTCTGCCTACTACATCCAGTGAGAAATGTTCTCTTAAACATTTTCTCTATGAACTCCCCTAGCAGTTTGTTCTGTAACTCTGTCCATGGCACAATATATGTTGCCATTATTGGGGTATATTTCTAAACCTCTTTTCTAGGCTGAAAGCTTCTTGAGATCAGGAACCTTAGTCACACCTGTAGCCTTAGATAAGTCTTGGCATGAGGGTGATATTCCCACATCTGCTAAAAATAAATAAATAAATAGTATGCGTATTGTCCTTTGGATTCCTGCTGCTTTTTTTTTTTTCTTGAGATGGAGTCTCGCTCTGTCTTCCAGGCTGGAGTGCAGTGGCGCGATCTCAGCTCACTGCAAGCTCCGCCTCCTGGGTTTACGCCATTCTCCTGCCTCAGCCTCCTGAGTAGCTGGGACTGCAGGTGCCTGCCACCATGCCCGGCTAATTTTTTTGTATTTTTAGTAGAGACGGGTTTTCACCATGTTAGCCAGGATGGTCTCAATCTGCTGACCTCGTGATCCACCCTCCTTGGCCTCCCAAAGTGCTGGGATTACAGGCATGAGCCACCACACCTGGCCTCCTGCTGCTTTTTTAGATCCAGCTCAGAACTTCTCTGACACTTCTCAGGAAGAACTCATTTCTCCCTCCTCTCCACTGTCACTTAGTAAAAATCTCTGTGTGAAATGTATCCCATTGTAGTATTTCAAGTTAGACTGTAGTTTCCTCGAATATAGTACTTTGCTTTTATTCCACTTAATATCCCAGGGCACAGCACAACGTATTAACAGTTCTGTGCTGTTCAGTTAAACAGCTAATTACACATGGGTGTTATTAGTTGTTTAATGTTTGGATTTTAAAAAGGGGGGTTAAAAACCAAGAGGCAACTGGAGAATGGAATTGGGCTGTGACAGACCCTGTGACCTTTGGGTCACAGGTGTGGGGAAGCCAAGAAATACAGAGGCAATAGAGAGGGAAGAAATAGGCAAGTTAATCAGGATGTATTTTTTTTTTAAAGGAGGTATGCTAGGAAACCCCAGGTCTGCTCTTTTCTACATTAGAGTACAGCAAAAAGGAGTGATTATTCTGGCACTGACGGTTGAGGAAACAGTAGTTTTTGTTTTGTTTTTTGTTACCATGTTGTCGATGACCCAGTGGAAGAGATAGTGAAGGAAATGGGAAAGATGGTTTCTGATGCTTAAATAAAGTATGTGTGTTGTGGGGTGTGGGGGGGATGCATTGAAATACATAAGAGCCTTCAGCATGTTAAGTCCTACACATCAATTAAGACTACCTTCCCCAGGAACTTCCTCTGATACCTTCTCTTCCATCCTCACCCCAGGATAAATGAAATGCCCCTCTTTTTGCTCTCCTTGTAGCCTGGCACCTTCATTCATCATTGCATTTACTAGGATCTGTGCATATCATTTTCATTTATGCTTTTCTTTCACCTGACTGTAAGCTCCACAGATTGAAACTCTGTCTTTCTTCTTCATTACATCCACAGCACCTCGCACCATGCCTGGAACACAGTTGGTGATCAGTCTATATTTATAGAATGAATGTGCACAGTAGGACCCTTTCAGACCCAAGCCACAGACCAAAGAGGCAGTCTCCTTATTATCTGCCTTGTGACCACAGGGCCCCACTGGCTGTTCAGATTCAGACATGTGCTGAGCCCAAACATTGTTGTTTATCTAAGACGCTTCTGCTGTTGCTCATCTTGTAAAATACAAAGTAAAAATAGTTCAAGGAAGCTGTGTGGTTAAGACATTCCAGTCTCTGTTTGAGCTCCTAGATAAAGGCTGTTATTGTTAGGAAGTTGGTCATTAATCCAACCTGCCTTTTCCCTGCGCTTTGGTTTCACACCCTTCTAAAGGTACTGATTCTTTTTGTCCTCAGTTGCCCTTAAGCCTGTCACTAGCTGGCTGGTAACTGGAAAAAATAATAACTTTACACCAGTGGATGTAAGAATGATCTAAAGGTATCAGTTGATCACAAGTTACCTTTGTGCTCTGGGATTGTGACTTTAACTTATTCTCAAAGTGCCTTACCAGATGGCTTATGTTCTCATCTGTAAAATGGGAGAAATGACACCCACCTCACCAGATTATTGAAGAGTGAAAGAAAATAGAGTAGGCAGAGCTTCCTGGAACACAGTAATGGCTAAGAAAACGTCATAGATTGGAATCACAGATTGGAATCCCCTCACTTTGTTCTGCTATGGCCAGACTTTGGGCTATTAAGTTTATCCTAGGCATTATATTTTAAAAGAGGGATGATGTTGACAAATTATCACCCAGAAGCAAATGACCAGATAAGGGATCTGGAAATCAGACCTTATAAGGAGCAGCTGAAAGGAGTTGGGAACATTTAGCCTGCAGAAGAAATAACTATTAATAGGAGTAGAGTGGGGCAGGGCAAGGCCTTAGAAGGGTCTTCAAATAATTGAAGGGCTAACATGTGGAAAAGGATTAGGCCTCAATTCTATTCCACATATATCTATGGAACTCCTATTATGTGCCAGGAACTGGGAATACAAATAAATGTAAAGTACAATCCTTGTCTTTAAGGATCTTAGTCTATGAAGGACGATGACAATGCAAAAGGGGCTACTACAGAGGACTTTACAATGTCCTCTGTAATATGGAGAAGGCAGAGGAGGATTCATTGAACCCAGAGACACTGGGGAAGACTTCACCAAGAAGATGACATTTGGGTGGACCTTAAAGGAAAACTAGGATTTTTTTTTAGGCAGAGAAGGAGGGGAAGGGCACATAGGCAGCAAGTACAGCATGAACAAAGACAAAAAGGCATCCTCATGGAAAACCTAGGATGCATCGGAAAAGAAGCCGGAAGTGAGCCTGCAATATTTGATTGGAGCCAGATTGTCAAGGGCTTTGATTATTAAGCTAAAGAGCTTGGACTATTTACCTTGAGTGGGTATTGAACTATTTACCTTGAGTGGGTATTGAAGAGCCATCAAAGGCCTTTAAGCAGATTTTTATTTTAAAAGGAAATCTCTAGCACAGCCTGCTGAAAGAGCTACACTGAAGAGAGACAGGAGGCAGGGAAGACAAGACCTCTCAGCATACCAAAGAGAGTCCATGAACTTGACTGTTCCACTGACCATGGGTAAATTTGGGCACATTATTTAAACTTTCTGAACTATTTTTTTTTAGTTTGTAAATTGAACGTCTACTTTAGAGGGATGTTTCAAGAATCAAGTGAAATAACATATCCAAGACCCTAACGTGTGTCTAGTACCCAAATGTTGCTCAGTAAGTGAACACCATTCCCTTCCTTCCCTTTCTCTTAATGGATAGAGTAGACAGAGAAACAGAGTTCTACTTGATGAAGCTAGCATTCATGGGCAAACAGTGGGATAATTCTCTTGGGGAAATGAATACATCACTGGATACATTTAAGAAGGGTATTTCTTTGGTAGAAGATGAATTGAACCAGATCAACCTCTAAAATCTCATTCTTGGCTGGGCACGGTGGCTCATGCCTGCAATCCCAGCACTTTGGGAGGCCAAGGCGAACGGATCACAAGGTCAGGAGATCGAGACCATCCTGGCTAACACGGTGAAACCCCATCTCTACTAAAAATACAAAAAATTAGCCGGGTGTTGTGGTGGGCACCTGTAGTACCAGCTACTCGGGAGGCTGAGGCAGGAGAATGGCATGAACCCAGGAGACGGAGCTTGCAGTGAGCTGAGATTGTGCCACTGCACTCCAGCCTGAGCGACAGAGTGAGACTCCGTCTCAAAAAAAAAAAAAACAAACAAACAAACAAAAAAAACCTCATTCTTACTCTATGATTCTGTCACCTTTAGGTCATAGTATTATGGAGATGGTCAAGAACCTGAGGTTTGATAGATATTTGATATATATTATGATATATACTTAATATATTGTATATCAAATATCTTATATATATATGATGGAGATGGTTAAGAATCTGAGGTTTGACTTTGTTAAAAGCACCAATTGGCCCCAAAAGAAGTGAATCTTCCTCAAAATGAACATCTGTTACTGAAGTGTACAATTAAAAAGACCCTACCCTAAACAGTCCTTCAGGAGTAACTATACTACAGGAGAAAGAGAGCTGGGTTTCCAACTTAGAGGCCTACATTCCAGTGTCAGAAATTAAAGATTTTGCTATATAGCTTTGGACAGGTCATTCTTTGTGTCTTGGCGTACATTTCTCCATCAGGAAGATGTGAAGGTTGGGCCTCTAAGGGGTCTTCTATTACTAACATTTTGGGATTCTGGGAGTCTTAAGTTATTGAGATCATGAAATTGTGGATGTAAAAATGTTAGGAGATTTCAAGGGTTCCCACAGCAACTATATCACTCACAGTTTATGTCTCAATTTAACAACATCAAATCCACCTAAAATATATTTTTTTAAATGTGTCACATGCATTGAGAGTGATACTCATTTGACATTCTTCTTGGAATCAGAACTTTGGAATTCAGTGCATTTCAAGTCTCAGCATTAACTCATCTGCAAATTGGATTAGTTCATATTTCTGGTTGAGAGAGGAGACACTTTCTATAGTATGGCAAAGAAATGAAAATGTCAGTCATCTGTCACAGAAGGAAGAGATGGCTCACTTTAGGCCCTAGATGCCACGTCATCTGGAAGTAGACAAAAAGGAAGACTTGGAGCCAGGAGAGCCACGCGTTGGTCCACACTGTTCCCTCAGAAGGTCCTCCTGGCCAGCTCCTGCTCATCCTCTGAAGTTTTCCCTTTTCTTCTTCTCTGCTCAATAAAACAAGTTCCTCTGTCATCTATGCTTCCTTAGCATTATAGCATTGATCATAGAGTATGATAATTATTGCCTGTGTTACTATTGATTGTCTACAAATTGATAAGGGGCACAGCACTAACATTTATTGGGCACCTGCAATGTGCCAGGTGTGTATATCGTCTTATGTAATCCACACTGCAACCCTTATGGTGTAGGTATTGTTACCCCTCTTTAACTGATGAGACTAGGTCAGAGAAGTTAAATAACTTGCTCAAGATCATATAACTAGTAAATTACTAGTCTGGCTTTGAATCAGGTTTGTTTGTTTCCCAAGCTCCTGTGATTTTGATTGTTCATTCCTTTTTCTTATCTCTGTAACCTGAACTCTTAGTATAAGCCCAGCCTTTTGTATATAGTTAGCCTTTGAACAATGTAGGGATTAGAGGCGTCAACCCCCTGTACAGTCGAAAATTGCATATAACTTTTTACTCCCCCCAAACTTAACTA